CTTTCTCTAAAGTTCCGTACACTATAGGCTAAGCACTCGTTTCAAGGGAGCAACTCCAGGTATCGCACTTCAAACCATCTTTTGTCCCAGATGCTACGATAGTGTGTGGAAACCCCCTCCCTCAACATTAGTCCGTCTTGCCTCCAACTTAAAGCAATCGTATCTTTGAGGCAACAATCAACGAGCCGGTNCATGATGTTTAACTTCCCTATGCAAAGAACTGAAGCTAATTTTTGTTATCAATCTGAATGAACCGACGGGGACGGAGACTTTCATTCATCAACAACCCCAAATTAGAATGAAGTGAAAGTAAGATTGCATCAGTGCAGAGATTTGTATCAGGTGATGCAATTCCAGGTGGGAGAAGAAATAAGAAGTTGCGGTTATCTGTGAATTGGGTGCGTATAGGTTTACTGGATAAACAGCTGAGAGGCCTGGAAACACGATGGACGTTTGCTCGGCGAGAGTCTGATGACTGTACTGTGACTCGCCCCTAATAAAACAAACTACTGGTCACGGATTCATCTGGAGCATTCCTAATACCCTGGGGATTTGTTAGGTAAAAAGATTATTTTTACCTACTTGGGCCCATGCCACAAGAATTCAACGCTATGGAAGCAGGCTATATGATGTGAATGTCGGAGACGAGACGTGTGTCCGACAGCAAAACCAACTCCGCCTCAGACATGAACCCAGCTCTACGCACACCCCAACGCTCATTTCACTTCCACTGGACGTAATGATCGACACGTTTGCTCTTTCAGTATCAAAGCCAATCGAACCACTGGAACCCAACCTGAAAGTGAGACGCTGGACTGACGGGTTCCGACACTCTGTACTACCATTCCAAGGTCAAGCGGTAAGATTGAACTTCTCTGGGGAAGATGTTAGGTAAAGAGACTATTTTTACTTACAACTGTCTACTTTTTGAGTATTTTCAGATTTTTTGGAGCCTTTTTTTCTGACCTAATCGTTCACTCCCAGCTGGTGTTCGCTGATTGGTCAAGCTTGTGAATTTTCTCGTTTGTGCATCAATACTCAAGGTTTGTATGTCTGGAGACCAGAACAGTATATAAGCAGATGACTTGACACCAATTGTGACTTGCTCTTGATGCGTCTATTAAACGTTCGTTACTCATCGATCTGTGTTCTTGCTTACGTAGCTGGGAGAAGGCTACTACTGGTGCACTTGGCGTACTGTACTGTGATTGTACTTGTGGGGCTATACGACTAGTGTGGCCGTTGAGGTACACTCTCCGTAGCGGGTGGACCTACCTCGTATCTCTGTGTGCGCTCACGCTCTGTGATATCGTGCACCGCGACTGTGTCCAATCTGTGTTCTCGTCCACGGTCAGTAGTGAGTGCCACTCTACTATTGTGTTGTGCTGTGCTCTATCGATTCCCTTTTCGGGTATACCACTGCATCTCACGCTGTCCTGTGTTACTGCGTGTTATCCTTGTTGTGTGTTCCTTCCTGGTCTTTCCAAACTACTTTCAATCCTACCCCCCCCCCCTTTAAAAGTAAGATCAATTAGCCGATTATTGCATTACTATATACACAAAACATAGACCAAGGTAAGTGTTGGACTATAAACGCTATTCCTTTCCCGTTGTAAATCCACTTGTTCAGAACAACAAAAAAGCACCAAGATGAACATACATTTCACGATACTGATCAAACGCAGCGTTGATCTCAATCTCTCGTTTTCTTAGGCTTTCGCTCGGCATAGCCCCGTCCTCGATAGGTGGATCGTATGTGTTTGACCAAGGCGATCGATATGAATCCCCGTCCCGATTATAATCGCATAGCAAGTAGTCTCGACCGGCTTTTGCATCCCGGGCAATCTTCAGTGGTTGATCGATTGAACTGAGAATATCCTCACACAAATCGGGAACCAGATTGATCACGTCTAATAACGTTCGATCGATCTTCTGAGGCGGCAATCGCCGCATCAGATCCATCACAGAGTTCAACTGGTTATTCTGACGTGGAAGTAGAACAGAGAAATATGGGATGGTGATAGAGATTCAAAAGTGATGTCGGGATTTTTCATGAAATCGACGGAATTTCCGGTGGCAGGTAGTAACTATTCTCAGTCTTTTAAATCCAATGAATGACAGTGCATGTTAGACAGCGGTGTTATCACTTGGTCCAATACCGCATCGAACCGGTTAGCATCTCATGTACTTCGCCACTAAGTTTGTTGGTTTTCATATCTGCATAATAAGTTCTTGTGATTAAACGGTCTCCTGTTGTTATGAGTCACATCAAGATTTATGATAAAAAGGGAATAAATTCAACACAGTGATATCACAACGATTAATCTACGGGCAAAAAGGACTTTGATACTGAACAAAAATGTTCATCCGGAAATTACATGTTCATCACGAAAAGCGAATTTTGAATTTAATCGAAAAAATAGACAAATACAGCGTATAATGTTCAAAACCATGATTTATACTAATGTATCAAATTTCAAACACACGGATACAACGTAATTGCTGATATTACGATGTGTACAAACAATGTGATTCTGAAACTGCAATACTAGCATGAATGTTACATGGGGCCTGAGTGTCACAACCCCTTTGTGATCACCTTCCTCGTGTCACTATGAATCCTTTATGAAACGGACCGATGGGATAGGACGATCTCAATCTTGCACATCAATCGGAACGAGCGCTTTCAGAGCTATCCCTCGGAAAATCACGTGCACGAAATGAACAAGTCACATCCATACATACACTAAATGAAAACTGGACGATTTTGCTGCTTGCAACTTGCCGGTGTTAAATCGGCCAGCATGTTTGGCAATGTGATTGTCAAATGTTTTATGACCGAGGGGAAAAGGTCGTTTTCGACGAGGTGGTGAATTTGATTGACTTCTTCAGATAGGTCAATTGTCCACAAGGTCATACTCAAAAAAATTAAATCATATGGCTAATGAACTAGATGTGGACCGTGTGGTGGCACCGTTTCATTTTGAAACTCCGGATGATTTAAAGTTCACCCACAACCGCCCAAAACTGAACTGGAACAGTTGTGATTACTTTATTCCAGTACGTTTACCTACTTCTGAATTCCGATGAACAAATGATGTGATCTCCCCGCAAGTCGGCTGATCATGCATATTGTACAAGCTGCGAGGAATGTCGGATACTAAGAGAATGGATTCTGATTGGATTAAACCCCTGTGGTTGTCATAGTCATTGCGCAGTTCCTGTGTGAAGATAGGGGCAAAATCGCTTC